GCAGCCTCAAGTGCTCTGTTATTTGTTTTAGGATTATTTTCAACAAAATAACTGTATTATTTGACGTGATATGTCTTGGCATAAAGGAAGAAATGCAGTAAATCAAGTTCAGACTTCACAGCACGGTGAAAAAGACTACTCCAGAATATGAAACCCACATTTTGAAACACTATTTTGTGGTAATGATAAGCTTTAACTCAAATATTTTTTTATAAAACCTAGAAAACATATAGTTGGCTTACAAACTCTCAAAACATTCTGTTATATAAACATTACAGGACTGGCCAACTATACAACAAACAATGGAATTAAAATAGACCAGGTAAGGAGGAGTTAGTTTTCTTTGATATCGGCATGTATGTGTTATGGGCATGCTTTGTATTAACAATTGATCGAGGCAACAAATAAAAGTTAGCAAGTCTTTGTTATGATGTAATGGCCTGAAATAGTGCTTTGTTGGGATATTTTGTAGAGGTAATCAAAACTGCTAACTGGTAATGATTGCACTTTTCAGTAATATCAATAAATAAAGCAAATACAAATCAGCGGGAATAAGAATGGCAGCTTGAACAGCTGCATCTTTACATTTGGAGCCACATTTGATATTGATGGATTTATTATCTAATTACAGCAATGATGATGTTCAACTCCCATGTGTCAGTGGTCGATTTAATGTGCAAGCTGGGCTATAAGGGAGGAAATTTCCGGATAACATGGGTCCTCTGGTTGCCCGTGCAACATTTTGTTGTTAACAAATAGGTCATTACAAATCATAAAGTCTGACTGACTTTATGATTTGTAATGACCTATTTGAAGAGCTATGACCAGTCTGTTTAAGTGATGAAATTAGCACTGCCTCTGTACATCCCCACTGAGGAGAATCTGTAGTTCTAAAATCCAGAGCCACTTTTGCCCTATAGTACGTATCCTCTGTGTGTTACACCATCTGAAAGCACTCCCGTGATTCCTGTTCCAAGGAGTTCAACCAAACTGTGATGATGCATTTCCTGCAGGGCACGGCGGTGCGTGGTTTCAAACCGCTGAGGCTACAAAATCCGCGGTTCTATTGAATATGTGACCAGAAAACAGATGGGATTTTTGACCCCTCGAGGCAAATCAACAGCACGGTGATGAACCGTGTGTCTTGCTGTTCGGCAGTGACCCAGAATGTTCTCGTCGTCCTTCCCTGAAATAGTTCCCGCGGCGAGCGAGGACAAGGGTGTATAGTTTCGGTTGTAGCGAAAAACTCTATCCACCGGTGGCTCTTAAACAACTGCATTGATTCTTCAAGGGGCGATGATCAAACCCCCCCTTGAATCATGGCAGGAGGTTCAAAGCAAAGCCAATGGACTCAAGCTATGGCGTAGACCGTAGCTGGGCTAAGGCCCGGCTGATCTGCTAAGACAGAATTACACTCTAAGCAGAGTGGTAATAAATGGTTTTTGGTTCCCAGCAAGTCCCAGAGTGATTCCTACGTGATAGAGAAACCTTCTAGAGGAATATTAGCAACCACCAATGCCCTGCAAGCGTTCCGTCTAATACCGCTGTTTGCTCATAATCAGCATTGTGTTTAATAAACGCGGTTGAATATTAACTAATCTTTTGATCTCGCTTTCATTAGGGCCACCGAGAGAGACGTGGATTCTTTTCGACAAATTAAGCCCCCCATCGTCCCCGCCTACAAACCCAGCATCTCGTGCTCATGAGGGAAATGAGCAAGGACACAGACGCTCCTATTGAAGAAAACTGGTAAAGTGCTTTAATTAGGCCACGTTTTTTTAAAAGAATCCAACTTTCTTCAGGAGGAATGTTATTATTATCTTCGTTCTCTGCAGTGTTTGCCCGGCTCATGCACACATATGGAGAGGACTTTTGATTTAGCGAGATTTATTCCCGCAGTATTTTTTAAAAAGTGTCAGATTGGACAGGATTGCTGTTGCCGTCGGGACTACTATTTCATACAGTGATGACACGCGCCCAATTATGAGCACCTCCACAGAGCCTCGAGGGCTTCTCAACACAACTACGTCTTACCATAAACAAACCACAGTACCAGTACTTGCGGCGTGATCAATGATTTTTTTCCCTCAAGGGCCAATAACGCGCTACATTGTTGGTCCCATTCTGACTGCTTAGGCACTGTACTCCAGCGTCTGTATTACCCAGTGTCACATAAATCTTGCAGTGCACTGTCTGCTGACTGAGCTTTGAGATGTGCCGCGTGACGACTCATTCTGTCAATTTCGGTACCGTCACATCAAGGGTTCCGTCAGCCAAACATGACTTATATTGATAATGATTAGTCGGTATAGCAGCTACAGTTCCGGCGCTGCAGGTGTATTCCGCGTTCTGTTCTCCGTCAAAGCTATATAAGGGACATTTAGGTCATAGATACTCAGCTTTTACTCTCCTGCCTTATTATGTCTGTCTTTCTCCCATAAACAAAGAACCGGAGGTATGTTCACCTGCTCGTTCGACCCATTAGGTCTGCATAATGCCTACTAATTATGTTTTCCCAACCTACAAGCCTTAATTATGCCGAGAGCAGATAATTAGCTGGTCAAGAATCTGTGCCTATGATTTGTCTCTGTGAGGCTGGCAGAAATAATGGCCGTTTCCATTACTAAGGAGATCCAGGGAGTCTGTATGTAAAAACTTCATCGCCACTTATTACCGCCACTGGGATGATGTGAACAATGTAAAATTATACCCTTTCATTTAGATTTAGTGCCAGTTCACTAACAGACATCTTCATCTTTCAGCTAAGATCAATGTATCAATTGAAATATTGTTTATTCAGTTTGATTAAAGTTCATTTTTTATCTGTAGAAACTGCATCTATGCAGTTTCTGAGAAGTGTTCTTTGTGGACATTCTTAAGTCACATAAAATTAACTGAACTATGTTCTGCCAGTTATGGACACTTGCATTACTATGATTTCCGTGTTGTTTATTGTGGTGTTTTTCAGATGGATTCTTGTATATTGAGATTGCAATTGGAATTTTTTTGTCATGGTTGTATTTACAACACAAATTCCTAAAATTTCTCACCCACAACAATGGAGACAGGCTGCATTTCTATGCAAAATCTGTTTGGTGACAGTAGCATTTACAAGCATTAGGCAGTTGATTTGCCATTGCTTACTGAGCTGAACTTCAGGCATCGGAAGTGCTTTGAACACCTCATTTGTGATGTCTCCACCATCTTAAGAGAAAAACGCTAGCTGGTGTGTCAGCAGTATTGTCAAATAGCTTTGTTCAAACTTCAATGATGTATGTGGCGTGCTTGTTCCATGAACACTCTGATATCTGATAGAATTCTGATAGAAATAAAGCTCTTGGTGAAAAAGATTAGTAACTAATCAGTCTTCAGATTTAAATGAGCACTTGCCTGAACAGAGCGACGCCTAAAAAAAGATGACAAAAGCCAAACATGCCTTCCGTCAGAAAACATTCTGTAGGGGGAAAAAATGCAACAAAGGCACTTTCTGACTAAACAATTCTTTAGACATAAAGCGCAATGCAACTTGGTCCCTGAGGTCCCTGAAGAGCAACACGCCTCCAGGGACCTCTACTTTTACTGCACATGCACTTCAAATAGGAACCCTAAACTGATGTAACATCCAGCTGATAGCTGGTAAGAAAGTCAAAATCACTATGTAACAACCTCATTGCATTTCTATCTCAATAAACCCTGAGCCTTACTGCTTTCTTATTCCAATTTGTTTAAGCTCACATTAACATCTGTTGTGCATAAGACGTTTATTTGTATTTGTTAGTTCCAGAGCTGTGTTCATGTATTAAAGTTATGACAGCATGTGTACTTTATTCAAACAGTATGGTTCCAAAGCTCTCACAGTTATTGATTATTCAGCATCTTCAAGAAGTAACCACGTCAATCAGCTGATACAACCCCACATCAAAACAGAGGAATCATTTTTAAGCTATTGTATAAAAAAGGATACTGTTGTGATAAAAGCATTATATGAACTTCTATACAAAAACGATAGAGTTTTTGCCATAGCATTTATAAAGAAAAACAACAAAAAAACAAGCTATGAGTTTGCCAAGTTATTCAACCAACCCAAACAAAAAGTTTTATAATAGGTTTTCAGTCAAATGTAGCTTCCTGTTGTACAAATCAATGTTTGTCACTTCACCCTGTTGCTGGTAAATGTCACGGCTCAACGGTATTGTCCCTTCCTCTTCTTTTTTTTTTTTTCTTTTTAAATTGTTTTGTTGTTTGCACAGAGCTGTGCATTGGCAGCCTGTATGACTGTGCCATTAGTTTTGTTTTAAAAGAGCGAACCAGCCATGGAGTATACCTGTCTGAGTTGAGTAAACGGCCACTATGACTTTTTGACTGTGTATAAAATACCGTGGCAGTGAAGGGGAGCAAAGTGAGTTACAAATGTACATTATATGTAAGGATCCTGGCTTCAACTGTGAAGCTGCTACCAAATGAAATGAAATACCACCTCCAATGGGTAAACATACACCATCATACTTTAGTATAATGCATCTACTGACAGAACGGAGGGTACACTTGAGGATTTAACTCAGTGACTGACCTTATCATATGCATGAAACATACATCACATTGCCCCCGCAACAGACTTTGCAGTTGTCTCTCAATTCTACACTGACATTATCATGTGTGCGGCAAAATGTTTTGAGAGTGGCATTTCTACACGGGGCTTGGTCCTAAGGGGCTCCCTGGCAAACAGGAGACCCCTTCAGGGTCACCTCCCTGGAGACCCTAGAGACTGTCCGTGTTGTTGGCCAAAGCTCAAGGAGATTAGATGAGGGTCATTTTGGAGGGATAGAGGTGAGGTTGATGGAAGGATGCCGGTGGGATATATATATATATATATATATATATATATATATATATATACAAATGCATGTGATGGAAAGCCAATGTGACAATGGTTGCAAATTAATGAGATAGCACAACCTCCCCCCCTATCAGCTTCCCTTTTCTCTTCACACACTAGTTTTTCACAGGGCCAAAATGACTAAAGGAGTCTTCTTCTTTAGCTGTGCCTGAAGAAACTGAACTCAAACTGTAAATGTATAGCCTCCGGTAGAGTTCTATATCTTAGAGATGCTGAACCTCAACCCCGTTTTGCTTCATTTTGTCACTTGAATTACAACCACATGCAACGATGATGCCGTTACGCATGATGTTACTTCAGGTGATGTCCTAACATTATACAAATCACGTGTGGTGAGAGATACACTATATTGCCAAAAGTATTTGCTCACCTGCCTTGACTCACATATGAGCTTAAGTGACATCCCGTTCCTAATCCATAGGGTTCAATATGACGTCGGTCCACCCTTTGCAGCTAGAACAGCTTCAACTCTTCTGGGAAGGCTGTCCACAAGGTTTAGGAGTGTGTTTATGGGAATTTTTGACCATTCTTCCAGAAGCGCATTTGTGAGGTCGCACACTGATGTTGGACGAGAAGGCCTGGCTCTCAGTCTCCGCTCTAACTCATCCCAAAGGTGTTCTATCGGGTTGAGGTCAGGACTCTGTGCAGGCCAGTCAAGTTCATCCACACCAGACTCTGTCATCCATGTCTTTATGGACCTTGCTTTGTGCACTGGTGCACAGTCATGTTGGAAGAGGAAGGGGCCAGCTCCAAACTGTTCCCACAAAGTTGGGAGCATGGAATTGTCCAAAATGTCTTGGTATGCTGAAGCATTCAGAGTTCCTTTCACTGGAACTAAGGGGCCAAGCCCAGCTCCTGAAAAACAACCCCACACCATAATCCCCCCTCCACCAAACTTTACACTTGGCACAATGCAGTCAGACAAGTACCGTTCTCCTGGCAACCGCCAAACCCAGACCCGTCCATCAGATTGCCAGATGGAGAAGCGCGATTCGTCACTCCAGAGAACGCGTCTCCACTGCTCTAGAGTCCAGTGGCGGCGTGCTTTACACCACCGCATCCGACGCTTTGCATTGCACTTGGTGATGTATGGCTTGGATGCAGCTGCTCGACCATGGAAACCCATTCCATGAAGCTCTCTGCGCACTGTTCTTGAGCTAATCTGAAGGCCACATGAAGTTTGGAGGTCTGTAGTGATTGACTCTGCAGAAAGTTGGCGACCTCTTCGCACTATGCGCGTCAGCATCCGCTGACCCCGCTCCGTCAGTTTACGTGGCCTACCACTTCGTGGCTGAGTTGCTGTCGTTCCCAAACACTTCCATTTTCTTATAATACAGCTGACAGTTGACTGTGGAATATTTAGGAGCGAGGAAATTTCACGACTGGATTTGTTGCACAGGTGGCATCCTATCACAGTTCCACGCTGGAATTCACTGAGCTCCTGAGAGCAACCCATTCTTTCACAAATGTTTGTAAAAACAGTCTGCATGCCTAGGTGCTTGAATTTATACACCTGTGGCCATGGAAGTGATTGGAACACCTGATTCCGATAATTTGGATGGGTGAGCAAATACTTTTGGCAATATAGTGTATATAGGCCATCTTAGTGGAAAGAAAATGGGTGAAAAGACATGAGCCACATTTAATCTAGCATCACTTTCCTTCTACATGCCTTAAAGGAAGAGTTTCTACCAGGAAATGCCCTATTGGAAACTTTCAACATAGATGGCTGTACATTAATACATCTTTAAATATCATCATGAAATGCTTATTTTGTTCTTAAAGTTGAATAAGAATTACTCTTTTAATTTAAGTTTGGGTTAGTGAACCTAGTTTACCTCTAAATAATAAGCATGGCTTCTAATAACATTTCAACAAAATCTCGATCCGCCTGACAAAAACAAGTCATAATCATAATCATTTTCCGTTATTATCAAGATTAGTTGACAGCTTTTTAAACTAATTTGTTATCTTTTTTAAATCAGATTTTTTTAAAGCACAAACATAAACATATATTTCAAAACAGAATAAATCAAAAGTGCTTCATAAAAAGTGGAGAGGAAACACACAGCTATCGGTCGGGAGCTGCATAGAAAAGAGTGTCTGAGATCAAACAACCTGTCTTTGGAATGCTGTTTGTGCCGATGAAGCCCAACGAGGGTCCACCCGTTGACCTCTTGAGTTTTGTGCTGAAATGAGAGCGTCCCTTCGTGATCTTGGGGGCCACGGGTTCGCTTATGAGAAAGTTCCCAGAAGTTCAAAGTTTTATTTCCTGAGCATACCTTGTTAGACTCTTTCTGTTTGCACTGGTGACTCAAGTTGAAGTAAAAATCCACAAAAACCAGGCAAAGATGTGCGCTGGACAGAAGCCCCCAGATATTTTCATGATTATTTTTCCTTTTTTATTAACACTGAATTTTTCAAATGGGAGTAAACGTAAAATATTTTTCATCCCCAAGTCACAAACATAGGAAAATCCACACCACTTGTACATACGATCGCCAAAACTTTACCATTTGTTTGTTCAAGTACTATAGGTTACAATGAAATGATATGTCCCAGGCATTATAACAACATGGCCACAAGTGAAAAGATTTGAAGGATAAAGATTCAAACAATACCAATAAGTAATGTGTACTTTGTAAAACCGAAATAATATAATCCACTTCTTCCTGTTGTGGAAAAGTGTCAGTTTTTATATCTGCATTTTCTTTAACGTAAACATCAAGAGCAATACCGGTGTAAATGTCTTCAAGAATAGCTGAGTCCCAAAATATGACGTTCTTATGATTTTTACCTTAAAACATTATACTGCTTCCATTATTATTTGTATTTCTACCAACACCTAATTTCTTGAGATACTGTGGCTCGTACCATTAGATATTTTTCTGGTTATTACTGTTAGAGGGGACGGATGAATGTTTACGTGTCCGCTATTAGAAAAGAGTGAATATGAGACAGAAAAAAATTAGCAGGAAGAATGTGTTCCATTAAGGTCTCTTTCTTTCTCTTCCTTAAGGTCTCTGTCTTGCAGCAGGCCATAAATAAATCTGTGTGACTTGGTAAAAGAGGAGCTCCTTGTACAGGGATCATACTCTTCACATTCTGGGATGTTTTGAACAATGGAACAAAGAGCCTAAGAGCCCAAAAGCACAACATATTGCCGAGAGAAACGCTGGTACAGACCGGAAAGAACATTAGTTTTCTTCGATAGCAAGCAGTTCGATACTGTGTTGTATCTTAGATCACTTTATGTAAGGATTAGGGTTTTACATTAGATAGATTTTAAAAATTAATACGATTTTGCCAAAGATTTGAAACAGTAAAGTGATATATTTGCATCTAGTTCGAAGTAAAAAATAAATAAATTGTGATTTAATAAAAAAAAAGGCTTTTTCCAATTCCATTTTTTTTATGCAACACATCCGCGTTCTATCTGTTTTGTACCAACAAAGACCAGGACAAGCAAGGTTTTTATAACAATCAGGAATAATGAATGCGTCATCTTTGAGTATGACTCACGAGTGTGAACAAATATGAACAAATCTCCATATTTAACACTAGTATCTTGCCTTTATGTTATCTTTTATGGTATTTTTTTATTAAGTAAGAGCGTTTGGCGATTATTACAAATAATTTTCTACGGCCAGAGGAACGAAACTTATGAGAGAAGGTGTTTCCACGGCTGAAATTAGAAGAGTCAATAACACTAAGAAAAAAAAGCCTATCAATGTGAGTCATCTTACAATGGAACATACATTTTTTACATAAAAATGTAAATGAAAATATACTGAGAAATACAGCCCAAAAAGTGATTTTGGTTTACCGGAGGGGTGTTGTAAGAAGAAGGTGAAAGGAGGAGTAGAGGAGATAAAGAGTGCTTCAGACACAAAGGGTGCCATAAAAGTTGTAGAGTTGAAGAGGAGGAGGGCCTCAGATAGATGGGACACAGAGATAGCACAGTTTGTCACAACCTTTGTCGCACAACAGGAGCAGAAACCCTGAGTGATAAGTCGGTTGATGAAAACAATAAAGTGTCCGCGAAGCACAATAAATACAATATACCATAATAGAACTGTCAAGGATCAAATTTATTTTGAATGATTTACTTCTGCTGGTAACAGTAACAATGATCAAGTTGAAAAAGAACTCAGTTTGTTGTAATTTTATTTCATTTTCATTTTTAAAAAACAGTCACTGCAAGTGACTTGCACAACACAGGACTTGCCTAAATTCAACTATAACATCTAAACAATGCAATGGAACAAGTGCTAAACGAATGACATTCTTGTTTATGTCCTTTCAATATAATCTATGGTACACTTTAGACCACATATTGTTTTTAAGTAGGAAAATAAAGTATCAAATGCATAGTTTTGTCTACAAAGCATTATTAACTGTTCATGACAAGGTTCCCCACCACTGATAAGAGATCTACCTGTCACCCCCATTTACAGCGTAAAGGGCCTCAAACTCCTATCATAGATCCACCTTTTAAACCATCACACTTTAGCTTGTGTTAACCCTTCCTAGCCTACAGCAACAAACAGTGATTTTTCCTGCATTTTCCCCACATTTTTTTATGATGTGTTAAAGTCAGGGTGTGTCTTTGATCAGGATCAGATCTCAGAGGGGAACGTCATTAAAAGTGACACTCTGAATGCATTAGAACCCTGACAGCAGGACGGATTTTCCACGCAGTGTGAAATCGTAAGCTCATAAAAGACATCCACCAGCGATTCAAACACACACTCCGAGCGCACTATTATAATGCAGGACTCTTGTTCGCTTTCTGTTGCTCTATCCTCCTCTTTCAGCCCCGTTCCCTCATCCCCATTTTCTCCCTTACACATGCTTTTCTTTCCTCTTTTGGGAAAAGGAGGGGAGGGGTTGGGGGACTTCTTGTTGAATATGTGCCCTACTGGATGACTTTCAAAGCTACTTGTTCCACTTTCTTACATTTATGCTAATTCGAATGCAAATGTTAAAGTTCGGTTTTTAAGCCCCTGGCTTCAGGAGGGGGCGTGGGTGTGAGTGACGGTGTATTGACAGCCACGTTTCACCGCTCCTCTATGTTGGGAAAGGATGGTGGAGGGATGAGGAACCGATAGGGGTAAAGGACGACCGGCGTTTTCCTTTTTCGTATTGACTGAATACCATTTTTATTTATTTTTTGCTTCAATTTCACACTGTAAGCATTGAGTAGCAAGCCTTTTCAAATGGCCCGTATGTACCCAAGCTGAACAGCGGGCACCTTTGCAGTAGGTTTAGTGTTCGGCGTGTGCACACCGGCCTAATCTCTGGAGTCACAGAGGAGCACGGAGCAGGGGTCGCGGTGAACTGAGTAAGCCTCGGTGCCTACATTGATCAAACGACTTGCTTTGCCGAGACCTCTCAACACTCGCCGGGCAAATGAGACTCCTTCTCAACACTTAAAAGTATTTGCGATGAATACTGAGAGACGTTCTTTTTGATAGCAGCAGAGGTGAGGACGTGCCAAATATGGTGGAGAATAAGCTGACATCTATGCTCCTCTCAGGGCTGGGGGAGTCAATTTGTGTGGCATCTGTTGGGGCATCTTTTTATTTTCTTTATAGTTTGAAGTCCATGTTAGGGATTAAGGAGGTGGAAAAATCTGAGAAAAGAGCATATGCCCGGCAGCATGTAAGGATTTTAAGTTCAAGCTCCAATTGAGAAAAATAACTAGGACACAATATTCTTTGAAACCCTCTCCATAGGTTAGTCAGTCTTAACTATCATCACAGATGTGAATGTCAAAATGTTTAAACCTCTAGACACATCTTTTCTAAAAATGGCATTATGTGTTGCTGTAAGAAGCTGTACAGAAACCTGGAACAGCAGAAAGTCACAATGAAGTGCAAACAAAACTTCCACCAAGATTTATAGATCTTGGTGGAAGTCTTCATTTTGACCTGCCTGGTCATATTTAAGGATGCAGCTATTATCACAGAAGGAAAAATCAAAATAGTGATCACACCATAGAGCAGCTTTACAATATAGACTTCCATTCATCTACATAAGCTTAGTTTCAAAAGACAGGAAACTTTTGCAATACTAAACAAAAACAATGACATTGTTTTCAACATCTAGAGGAACTTATCCATCTTACAGTCTGTAATCATGAGTGGATGAATTATGTTCAGTTTTAAGCAATTGCCTAAAAGAAAAGTTATTTTTAAAATAAACTCGGTTTTCATTAGGAAGTAATCATATTGGTTGAACACATGATTGCTTGTGCAGGGATTTATTCATGATTAATGTAGCGGATATAGAATATGAAGGAATACACAAATCAAACATATCCATTCTTGCTTGAATTATGCTGTAAAGAGTAAACTGCATTTGTTGTATACCATATAAACCAATGAGAGCTTCTTTGTAGTTTTTCAGTTTGTCTGAACTCATTCATACATACAGGCATACAGGTAAAAATTA